ACAATATTGTCACCTGTGTTGTTAGATATCACACTGTATTGTCACCTGTGCTGTTAGATATCACACAGTATTGTCACCTGTGCTGTTAGATATCACACAGTATTGTCACCTGTGCTGTTAGATATCACACAGTATTGTTTCCTGTGTTGTTAGATATCACACTGTATTGTCACCTGTGTTGCTAGATATCACACAATATTGTCACCTGTGTTGTTAGATATCACACTGTATTGTCATCTGTGTTGCTAGATATCACACAGTATTGTCACCTGTGCTGTTAGATATCACACAGTGTTGTCACCTGTGTTGCTAGATATCACACTGTATTGTCACCTGTGTTGCTAGATATCACACAATATTGTCACCTGTGTTGTTAGATATCACACTGTATTGTCACCTGTGTTGCTAGATATCACACAGTATTGTCACCTGTGCTGTTAGATATCACACAGTATTGTCACCTGTGCTGTTAGATATCACACAGTATTGTCACCTGTGCTGTTAGATATCACACAGTATTGTCACCTGTGCTGTTAGATATCACACAGTATTGTTACCTGTGCTGTTAGATATCACACAGTATTGTCACCTGTGTTGCTAGATATCAAACAGTATTGTCATCTGTGTTGCTAGATATCAAACAGTATTGTCATATGTGTTGCTAGGTATCACAGTGTTGTCACCTGTGTTGCTAGATATCACACAGTGTTGTCACCTGTGTTGCTAGACACCGCACTATATTGTCACCTGTGTTGTTAGATATCACACAGTATTGCCACCTGTGTTGCTAGATATCAAACAGTATTGTCATCTGTGTTGCTAGATATCAAACAGTATTGTCATATGTGTTGCTAGGTATCACAGTGTTGTCACCTGTGTTGCTAGATATCACACAGTGTTGTCACCTGTGTTGCTAGATACCGCACAATAATGTCACCTGTGTTGTTAGATATCACACTGTATTGTCACCTGTGTTGCTAGATATCACACAGTATTGTCACCTGTGTTGCTAGATATCACACAGTATTGTTTCCTGTGTTGTTAGATATCACACTGTATTGTCACCTGTGTTGCTAGATATCGCACAATATTGTCACCTGTGTTGTTAAATATCACACAGTATTGTCATCTGTGTTGTTAGATATCACACAGTACTGTCACCTGTGTTGCTAGATATCACACAGTATTGCCACCTGTGTTGCTAGATATCAAACAGTATTGTCATCTGTGTTGCTAGATATCAAACAGTATTTCATATGTGTTGCTAGATATCACACAGTATTGTCACCTGTGTTGCTAGATATCACACAGTATTGTTTCCTGTGTTGTTAGATATCACACTGTATTGTCACCTGTGTTGCTAGATATCACACAATATTGTCACCTGTGTTGTTAGATATCACACTGTATTGTCACCTGTGTTGTTATATATCACACAGTATTGTCACCTGTGCTGTTAGATATCACACAGTGTTGTCACCTGTGTTGCTAGATATCACACTGTATTGTCACCTGTGTTGCTAGGTATCACAGTGTTGTCACCTGTGTTGCTAGATATCACACAGTGTTGTCACCTGTGTTGCTAGATACCGCACAATATTGTCACCTGTGTTGTTAGATACCACACTGTATTGTCACCTGTGTTGCTAGATATCAAACAGTATTGTTTCCTGTGTTGTTAGATATCACACTGTATTGTCACCTGTGTTGCTAGATATCACACAATATTGTCACCTGTGTTGTTAGATATCACACTGTATTGTCATCTGTGTTGCTAGATATCACACAGTATTGTCGCCTGTGCTGTTAGATATCACACAGTGTTGTCACCTGTGTTGCTAGATATCACACTGTATTGTCACCAGTGTTGCTAGATATCACACTGTATTGTCACCTGTTTTGCTAGATATCACACAATATTGTCACCTGTGTTGTTAGATATCACACTGTATTGTCACCTGTGCTGTTAGATATCACACAGTATTGTCACCTGTGCTGTTAGATATCACACAGTATTGTCATCTGTGCTGTTAGATATCACACAGTATTGTCACCTGTTTTGTTAGATATCACACAGTATTGTTACCTGTGCTGTTAGATATCACACAATATTGTCACCTGTGTTGCTAGATATCAAACAGTATTGTCATCTGTGTTGCTAGGTATCACACAGTATTGTCACCTGTGTTGCCAGATATCGCACATTATTGTCACCTGTGTTGCTAGATATAACAAAGTATTGTCACCAGTGTTGCTAGATATCCTACAATATTGTCACCTGTTTTACTAGATATAACACAGTATTGTCACCAGTATTGCTAGATACTACACAGTATTGTCACCTGTGTTGCTAGATATCACACAGTATTGTCACCAGTGTTGCTAGATATCACACTGTATTGTCACCTGTGTTGCTAGACATCGCACAATCTTGTCACCTGTGTTGTTAGATATCACACAGTACTGTCACCTTTGTTGCTAGATATCACACAGTATTGCCACCTGTGTTGCTAGATATCACAGAGTATTGTCACCTGTGCTGTTAGATATCACACAGTGTTGTCACCTGTGTTGCTAGATATCACACTGTATTGTCACCTGTGTTGCTAGATATCACACAATATTGTCACCTGTGTTGTTAGATATCACACTGTATTGTCACCTGTGTTGATAGATATCACACAGTATTGTCTCCTGTGCTGTTAGATATCACACAGTATTGTCACCTGTGCTGTTAGATATCACACAGTATTGTCACCTGTGCTGTTAGATATCACACAGTATTGTCACCTGTGCTGTTAGATATCACACAGTATTGTTACCTGTGCTGTTAGATATCACACAGTATTGCCACCTGTGTTGCTAGATATCAAACAGTATTGTCATCTGTGTTGCTAGATATCAAACAGTACTGTCATATGTGTTGCTTGGTATCACAGTGTTGTCACCTGTGTTGCTAGATATCACACAGTGTTGTCACCTGTGTTGCTAGATGCCGCACAATATTGTCACCTGTGTTGTTAGATATCACACTGTATTGTCACCTGTGTTGCTAGATATCACACAGTATTGTCACCTGTGTTGCTAGATATCACACAGTATTGTTTCCTGTGTTATTAGATATCACACTGTATTTTTAACCTGTGTTGCTAGATATCACACAATATTGTCACCTGTGTTGTTAGATATCATACTGTATTGTCACCTGTGTTGCTAGATATCACACAGTATTGTCACCTGTGCTGTTAGATATCACACAGTGTTGTCACCTGTGTTGTTAGATATCACACTGTATTGTCACCTGTGTTGCTAGGTATCACAGTGTTGTCACCTGTGTTGCTAGATATCACACAGTGTTGTCACCTGTATTGCTAGATACCGCACAATATTGTCACCTGTGTTGTTAGATACCACACTGTATTGTCACCTGTGTTGCTAGATATCAAACAGTATTGTCATATGTATTGCTAGATATCACACAGTATTGTCACCTGTGTTGCTAGATATCACACAGTATTGTTTCCTTTGTTGTTAGATATCACACTGTATTGTCACCTGTGTTGTTAGATATCACACAATATTGTCACCTGTGTTGTTAGATATCACACTGTATTGTCATCTGTGTTGCTAAATATCACACAGTATTGTCACCTGTGCTGTTAGATATCACACAGTGTTGTCACCTGTGTTGCTAGATATCACATTGTATTGTCACCTGTGTTGCTAGATATCACACAATATTGTCACCTGTGTTGTTAGATATCACACTGTATTGTCACCTGTGTTGCTAGATATCACACAGTATTGTCACCTGTGCTGTTAGATATCACACAGTGTTGTCACCTGTGTTGCTAGATACCGCACAATATTGTCACCTGTGTTGTTAGATATCACACTGTATTGTCACCTGTGTTGCTAGATATCACACAGTATTGTCACCTGTGTTGCTAGATATCACACAGTATTGTTTCCTGTGTTGTTAGATATCACACTGTATTGTCACCTGTGTTGCTAGATATCACACAATATTGTCACCTGTGTTGTTAGATATCACACTGTATTGTCACCTGTGTTGCTAGATATCACACAGTATTGTCACCTGTGCTGTTAGATATCGCACAGTGTTGTCACCTGTGTTGCTAGATATCACACAGTATTGTCACCTGTGTTGCTAGATATCACACAATATTGTCACCTGTGTTGTTAGATATCACACTGTATTGTCACCTGTGTTGCTAGATATCACACAGTATTGTCACCTGTGCTGTTAGATATCACACAGTATTGTCACCAGCGCTGTTGGATACCACACAGTATTGTCACCTGTGTTGCTAGATATCACACAGTATTGTCACCTGTGTTGCTAGATATCACACAATATTGTTTCCTGTTTTGTTAGATATCACACTGTATTGTCACCTGTGTTGCTAGATATCACACAATATTGTCACCTGTGTTGCTAGATATCACACAATATTGTCACCTGTGTTGTTAGATATCACACTGTATTGTCACCTGTGTTGCTAGATATCACACAGTATTGTCACCTGTGCTGTTAGATATGACACAGTATTGTCACCTGTGCTGTTAGATATCACACAGTATTGTCACCTGTGCTGTTAGATATCACACAGTATTGTCACCTGTGCTGTTAGATATCACACAGTATTGTCACCTGTGCTGTTAGATATCACACCGTATTGTCACCTGTGTTGCTAGATATCACACAGTACTGTCACCTGTGTTGCTAAATATCACATTATTGTCACCTTTGTTGCGAGATATCACAGTTTTGTCACCTATGTTGCCTCAATGTCATATGGGTTTGTCACTAGTGTTGCTATAGTGTCACTCAGTGTTGTCACCAGTGTTGTTGCTAGTGTCATACAGTGTTGTCACATGGGTCTGTTTTGTTAGTTATTTCAAATCAATAAAACAGAGGAATGATTTGGGCACTGTGTTGCATAGCTATGCAAGAATTATTAAGCTGACATTCATACCTAATGGTGGCGTAACTGTGCAGGTTTTTTCAAACACTTCTTCTAAAGATCTTGTATCTGTATGTACAAAATAAAGTATGAATACAAAGTAACAATTGATTGCAGAAGTTCATTTTTAATTCATATACATCTCTATTCTATATACTATTATATATACATCTACAATAAATAGTGTGACTATATACTATTATATATACATCTACAATAAATAGTGTGACTATATACTATTATATATACATCTGCAATAAATAGTGTGACTATATACTATTACATATACATCTACAATAAATAGTGTGACTATATACTATTATATATACATCTGCAATAAATAGTGTGACTATATACTATTATATATACATCTACAATAAATAGTGTGACTATATACTATTATATATACATCTACAATAAATAGTGTGACTATATACTATTATATATACATCTACAATAAATAGTGTGACTATATACTTTTTTGAATGGCAGAATATTATGTGAATCAGAAAGTGCAGGTCATAACTGCACAGAGTGGGGATCATAGTGAGACAGGAATTATTTTCTGTTTTGTTCCTCTGAATATATTGAACAGTAAGTATTGAACTGAAAATTGCTAGATCAACAGGTCAAATGGGGAATAACACTGGAAGGTTTGACAGACCCCATAGCAAGCAGTTGTTGTGGTCCCCTCTGGTGATGACATGCCCACCCCTACTGGAATAAAATGAAATATTTAAGTGTTACTTAATTGGTGAATATTGATAATTGGTTGAATTTCCTATGAATATGCGATCTAATTACCTGTACTATCTTGGATAGTCCGATAATGGTTCTTGCTTGACTAAGGAAAAACATGTCACAACGGTCTGACTCAAATGAACTGATTGACCTGGACCAGTCTGGTCATTGAGTCCTTATATAGGAGACTAGTTACCCTGGCCTTTGAGATTCATTAGAAACTCACTATCACTATTATTAATTATACATTATTACCCTTATAATTTTGTAGTGCTGTGAGAAAACTACAAGAGTTATGATGCTATATATGACATCCCCAGGAAATTGCACAGAATTGATTGGTTAATCTTCTTTCTCCTAAGTCCAGTGGACTATGGTGACTTTGCCAGCCCCTCTGACACACGTTTCATCCCAATTTGAACTCACTATGGCTCCCGCCAATCTATTAGTGAGAAATTAGTATTTGAACACCCCAGGGGAAAAGTAAACAACATTAAAATTATTTTCACCGTCATCATAATTTTGGTTTTAG